TGACCCCTGCAAATTCAGGAAGTCATGGTGCAGCAGAGTGATTGTAGTCCTAAAGACACTTTAACCTTTTCATTTACTGCAAGCATCATCCTTCTGCCTGTCGTCAACCCATAATGTAAAAGGTGAAGTCTGGACTAAGAGGGATGGAGCAGGAAATGTTGGCAAGCTGGAGATTGTTACCTTCTGGTCCAGCACAGGTGCACAGGATCCAGCTGAAGCTTGAAAGCTGTTCAGAGCAGGCAGTTACTGGGGAAAAGGATATTGGGGGTTATCACTACCACTGATACATTCCCCAGGCAAATACTGATGGTCATAATGAAAGTAAAAGGCATTATATTTAAAGTCAAAAGTAATATGTCTGTGAAACATGCTGGCAAATGATATCATTGAGGCCAAGTGCTTAGCAGGATTCAGTAAAAGGTTATACATACATATTCATACATTTGTGCGGGGAATTAGATTGGACCTGATAAAAATTCATAATGGATATAAATGTTCACAGTTCAGGGCATAAATCAGCCACCAGCCTGAGGTTAGAAAATAACTTCCCCTAGAGTCAGGCTGTTACATAATTATCAATTATACTTGCAGAGGAGGGAAAGGAGGTTGAAGAATAGGCCAATTTCCTCAGAGACATCTGGGAATTACTATTGGCAGACAACTAATTTAGATTTTATCTGGTATGGAAGTTCTTATTACATCAAATAATGTAATTTAGAATTAAAGCATGTGATTTATTTTGTATTTTTTATTCTTCATGTAATCAAGTTCATGCCTAAGGGTAACTGCAGGCCTTTCCATTACGAGCCAGCCGGAGTTAGTGAAATTCACTGTGCTGTGTTTTCTTACCAAATCTCTTTAAAAACAGCTTCACATTTTGCAAGGAAATCAGGCAGAGTTCCAACATTTTAGTTTATCAAAGCTAGCCAACCAATATAGCCAACTTAGTGCCTATATTAGCAGAGAAAAAGTTACATGTGTGAACTGCAGCAAAATCTCATTCCAAAAATTTCTCATTTTCATTGTTTGCATAGTAACCTAAAAAGACTTACAAAGGTCCTGAACATCTTGAATTATAGCATGAGGACTACTCCAGGCCTACTTTTTTTGCTTGGTATTATCAGCTCACCTAAGAAAAACATACACAGTCAGTGGACTTGTTTCCATCAAGCAACACACCTCCAGCTCTTGTTGCACTTGAAAACATTCTGTGAGCTGATGTAACACACATTGTACGCTAAGAAAAGCAGCCTTTGTGACCTTGCAAACAGAAAGCTTGATGAAAAATTAGATTCTTAATCAATTGATTAAGAAACTGCAAATGAATACAGGCAATCCTTTATGTTTGCTGCATTGAATAGTAGCTGCATTCTGCTATAGTTTCTGGAGCACTGATACACTAATTGCAATTACAACATAAATTATCACCACAATAGATGTGGAAAGCTGAGAAACATCTATTAACAAAACATCTCATCACTTTTAACAAGGAAAAGGAGTGGTACTTGGCATCAGTCTCTGCTAAACATAATTTGTGTTCCTAATGAGTATTACTAGAAAAATTTCAGTGTGATTGTGCAACATCTGGAACGTTCTAGGGCCACAGTCTAAAAATACTGCGGTCTTATTAAAAAATTTGTCCTGTGTAAACTTGAGTATAAACTCTGTGTAAACTCTGTTCAGACAGATTTATAAAAGGAATGGCTGAAGCGAAGGCAGCATATGCAATGTAGCAGATTTTTAAAAAAGGTTTCAAATTGTATTTGTTAAGATCTAAGTTGAAAGATGAATCCCAGCTGGCTTTGCTGTGCCAGCTGTGAGTTGCTGAGGACAGCCGTGCCCTGAGCTGACTGCCCAGCTCAGTGCTGGTGCTGCAGTGCAGGTGCACTGCAGGCTCCTTACCAGCTGCCCTCGTGTAACACAGGGGCTGCAGAAGCAGTACCCTCCACGGCTTTCCAGGAACAAACAGGTCATCTCCTGTGAGCACAGTTAGCTCTTAACAGTGGCAGCCTTATCAGCCCTGCAGCTGAATCAAAAATAAGGAATACAAAAATTTGGGGTGGGTCGTGTTGGCACCATTTGACAGCAGTCTTCTGCCAGTCACATCTGCAGTTCTGTCGTGTCTCTTGCCTCCCTCTGTCCTGCTGCTGCTGCTGCCACCTTGCCAGCAGCAAGCCATTTCCCTGGGATGGTCTCAGGCTGCTTACAGCCCCACTGCCTCGCTCTGCCAGCTACCAAACTACTGCTCGAGCTCCCACATCAGCTTCTCCCTCTTAAACATGGCTTACCTTATGCTGGAAACCTCAGTACAGAGCTTCAAAGACATAGAGATACATTAAACTGCGAGGAGATGTTTGGGCTGTGAGAGATATGGGGTTTTTTTTTGGTATTTTCAAAAGTATAATGAAGTGAACTTCAGAACTCTGCTGACATTTACAACTGTACATCTCAAAAATCTGTAAATGAAGAATTAGAGTCAAGGTGTAAAGAAATGATGCACTCAAAAGTTGTTTTGACCTAGAATAAGGCAAATTGATAAATAGTGTACAAATAATCCAAATAATCTTTCAGTGGAATAAATAGCTTGAAAAGTATGAATTGGAAAAGAAAATGATTGGAAACTGGCCTTCTTCCTTGGCAGCTAGATGTGAGTTTGCACAGGATATGGCAAGGCAAAAGAGCAATGTCATTTTAGACTCCACATGAAGAGCTGTAACCTCATCAAGTTAAGTAATTTCCTTTTTCATTTAGGCCTAAAATATTCTGTTGTATCCCCAACATTGTCAAAAAGAAAAAGATAAATAAGAAAGAACTCGGAAAAAAGCCAGAAAAACAATCATTGGCTGGAGGCCAAGCTTATTTGGAAACATGTGCATATGTTTAACTTCTCCAAACCTTTAAGGGTGATTAAGGGGAACTCATAGTGGATATCTTCTTTTGGAACAAGCTACTTAGAAATAGAAAGCAGAAAAAAGGGGTTAGCAGGTCATGGGCTGCCAGAGATACCGACACTGCTTTGTTAGCAGCCACAAAATTACTCTGGTAGCAGATCCCCAGAGCACATAAAAATGAGACTTGCATTTACATATTCTGAGATTCAAGCTTACATTTTGTCTTCTCAGAAACTCACTCACAGAGACAAACCTCCCGTGTTTCTAACAGGTATTTAGATAAAAATGAGGCACATGGTCCAGTTCAGTGCTAAGGACCACACTGATTCTTTGATATTGCTTCCTGTTCAAATACAGCTCCTGCAGAACAGTGTCAATAGCGACAGCAGATTGTTTAGATTTTAAACTTGGTAATGACAAACTGCCTGCTGCATTAGCAGAATACGTGGGGCGTGACAAGAGGCAGAGGGAGTAAACAATGTTTTATATTCCTATGTCATGTGACAATCAGGAGGAAAATCTGAAAAAAAAAAAAAAGGCAAGAAAAAAAAAAGGCGGTAAAGCAGCCAGCTTGTCCCATTGTCTCTGAAAATCAGAACAGTAGATAACTTAGGGTGTCCCCTGTTTAGCAAACACTTTTTTTACAGAAGACACACAGAATGAAGAGGTAGAAGATAAGGAGGGTATGCCCTAGAAGAGATTATGAACAAACCATAAATTAAAGACAGTTTCTGTTAAGAGTTCTATTTGTATAGACTTAGTATACTAAAATACTTTGATAGAACAGATATTCTTCCAATGCCTGTATTACCTCTTGCATCAGAAAATGAAAGTCAAGGAGACCTTGCATTATTCTCACTTTCCCACTTTCTGGATTTTTTGGGGTGTGGAAGGGGCAACAAAAATCCATGAATAATTAGAGTGTGCAGTTCAGAAAAATCTAGGCTCCTGGGAATGCTTGAGAATTTAAAGGGAAAGAAAGGCATGCAGAAGCTGGGTCAGCTCACCTATGGCATAACTGTATTTCAACACTTGGAGGATCCTGGGGGGTTGAACATTATGTCAAACATGGGGTTCTGACTCTAAAGCCCGTGATGCTTTTAGAGTCTTTGCAAAATGTTTATTTATAGTTAGTCTGGCTTCAGCAGTTGAAATCACAAAACTAAGTCTTTTAAAACTCTTCCCACTGTATTCAATGCAATGCAGGCTGCAAACATTTCTATTCAAACAATTGAACCTGTATTGTAAATAGCAATACGGGTCATTAATTCCAAAATAAGTTCTATTTTAGCATATTTCAATTTTTATTTCTAGAATGGTTATTCTATTCTAGATTTTATCCAGAACTGTCTTGGCTCCAGAAAGTCATAGTAGTATCCTTCATCTCAGACATATTGATACTGTAGTATGCCCTGGGTAAAAAAAGCATTAGGATTCTAGTTGGATTGGGTGCACAGATCATATTATTTATTATTTGCAGATGCCAGGACACTAAAACTTTCAATTGTTTTCCCACCAAAGTGAATAAGGCAGTTTGTTAATACAATTGCCTCTGTATAATTGGAAACTAAATCAATTATGACTGTGTGATTTGAATGCTACTGTAAATAATTTCATTTTTATGATGCTGTTTTGTTGCACATGGCATTATCAAATAGCTTATTCATTTTGCTGCTGACTGTGATTTGAGTCTGCATATTTCTCTGTGATGGAAGAAGCACGTTTGCAACCTTTTAGTTTTCTGGGATACAGTGTGCATTGCTTTTAATTATTTTGGCTGACACACATTAACACTAAAAGTCCATAGTCCACAGTGAGTGAAACAAGAGGGAAGGACTGGGTGGACTGTAACTTCCCTGAAAAATAAAAGCAGTCACCAGAAGTCTTTGGCAAAGCCCTTAAAGGAAAACAAAATATGGGGTAGACAAGGCACACAGAACTTATGTGTTATGAAGGATTTCCCCTACTCCTTTCAGAGGAGGATCCCTAGTCATTGCCTGTTTGCCTCTGTTTTAAAATATTTGGACAGGCAACAGGGAGAAGGGCCACAGACCGCTCAATCTGTCATGGTCTGTTTGGATCTCTCAAATTCACAGGATAATGTACTTTGCAAATTAAACTTTATTTTATAAGCTTATTAGGAAAGAAAGCAAACATGATGAAGAAGGGCTCCATCCCCTTTGTACAAAGTAGTCTAGCTCATGAATTCACTAATTCATCACAGCAGTCATGAGGTTTGTAACTCACAAGTTCTCTAATTCATAACATGCAATTCATTAACTTGTAACTTCTGCACTTTGCATATGAGGAAAATACCTATCCAAGGGTGAGTGCTCATCCTTCCTCCTTGGTCACAGTGCAGGTGTTCCCTGTGTCACATGAGAAGCACAAACATTAGTGTTTTATCAGCACTGTTTTCATCACAAATCCAAAGCATAGCACCATACAAGCCACTATGAAGAAAATTAACTCCATCCCAGCTATAGCCAGTACAATCTCCACACCTTATTCCCACTATTTACATCATGCTCAGGTCCCATACTATCCAACAGATCCTCATTAGCCACCTTCCTCTTTCCTATCCTTTAATATCTTCACAGGTATCAATCCCTGTAAAATGTCCATAAAATGCCTGTGAAATGTCCATTGAATTCATTCATCCAGGACATTAGGCTCTCTCTGTTCTGGTGGTCACTCAGGACCAGAGAGCTGCTGTGTTGTGTGGAGTTACTGGGCACCAAAGCCAGCTCAGGTCGGGTCACTGCTGCACGTGCATGCGTCACTTCTTGCATGGCATGTTCTCCACTGGCAGTGGTTCCTGCTACAGTAATCCTATAACATGCAACTCAGATCATAGTTTACAACAATTTAAAAGTGCATCCATTATAGTTTTTATCTCTCTTTGGGTGTGGACTTATCCAGAGACTCCAGTCCCTTAGGGGTGGACCTGCTCCACTGTGTGTACATAGGCCACAGTCTCTGCAGGGTACAGGTGATGTGGCCTGGCCTTACACACAGCCACAGCCACAGTCACTCTGAGGTGCACCTCCTCCAGCACAGCCCTGTCCAAGGGCCATGGTCTCTCCAGGGGTGTACCTGCTGTGCTATGGACATATCCATGCCCACAGACACTTCTGCTCCAACATGGTCTTATCCACAACCACAGACATTTCAGGTTGTCCTGCTCCTGCAGGGACTTATCCATCCACAGGTCAGGTCTCTTCAATTCAAGCTGACACTGGAGCTGCAGCCTGTCTGGGCCAGCAGCGACACCCAGGCCATGGGCCAGCCCAGGCACATCGCCAGGGCTGTTATCAAAATGCTCCCAGGCACAGCTGGGTAGGATGATAAGCCCTACAGCAAACAGCCAGAGTGAAAAGAAGCCACTAACAAGCTCTAGACTAATGTGCAGCAGGGCAAGCAAGACCTATGGCAAGCACAGCACCTGCCAGTGAATAGGTGAATTGCACTAAAAGCTATAAATTCAGTCTAGCAAACTCTGACCAAACCTGTCATTAACCCAAAGCATTTGAGCCCCAAGTTGGTCACCAAAACAGGACTGTCAAGGTTTAACCCCAGTGGGCAGCTCAGCCCCACATAGCCACATGCTCACTTATCCCAATGGGATGGGGGAGATAATTAGAAAAAAGTGGAAAAATCTGTGGGCTGAGATATAGACAGTTTAATAGGGAAAGCAAAAGCCATGCACACAAACAAAGCAGAAGAAGGAATTTATTCACTTCCTATCAACAGGCAGGCATTCAGCCACCTCCAGGAAAGCAGGGCTTCACTCCAGGTATTGGTGACTTGGGAAGAGAAACACCCCCAGTCCAAACATCACCCTTTCCTTCCTTCTTCTCCCAGCTTTATGCTGAGCACAACATCATATGGTCTGGAATATCCCTGTGGCCAGTGGGGGTCAGCTGTCTCAGCTCTGTCCCCTCCCAGCTCCTTGTGAACCCCCAGTCAGCTCCCTGTTGGGACAGCCCAGAAACAGAGAAGGCCCTGGCACTGTGCAAGCACTGCTCAGCAATAGCTATAACACCCCTGTGTTATCTTTTATCTCTTTTAATCCATTGTTCTCAAGAATTTTTCAAATTGAAAGAAAGTGGATTTCTAAGATTAAGTCATCAAGCTGTAACAAGACAGCAACTCTGACAATCACACGTTCAGATCATATCAATGCCAGCTTATTCTACAGGATGAGACAAGTACCAGCAGAAGATCAACTGCTCCTGACCCTCCTGAGTCAAATTTAAAGCTGAACTTTCCTCAGGATGATTAAGGGTGTATATTTTACTTAGTCATATTCATGTACAAAGTCTTACCACTTCCTGTATTTCCACAGTTCCTGGGAACGAAATCATAACCAATACTTAATGTCTGGGATGTGGGCAAAGGTTGTGGGCACATGGTAACTATTTCACTAGTCCTAGAGACAGGGTCTTCTCCAGTACTGTACTTCACACTGTACATTAACCTCATCTAGCTTTCGGATGGTAGGGGTTAGGGAGGGTGAATTCCAGCCATGGAAAACGTGCCATCTTAAGCCAATTAGCAAGCAGGGATCTCTGGTCCATCTCATGACTCTGTGATGTAAGAAGGGAACAGAACTTGTGTCACATGTCATGGTAATTCTGGCTGTTTGGTTTACATTCCATGCAGAGACCTCTGTAAAACAGAGGATGTCTTCCTACCACTGAGTGAAAAATACATGTTGCTTCACTGTTTCCTTTCATCAGTGCTTTTCTAGGGATATCACAGGAACTGATTTTAAACTAAAATTCTTTATTAAAAATGTAACATCAAAAAAAGCTCAAAATCCCAGATCCTCAGAATCACTTCTCATTACAGTTTCGGTCAAAATAGTCACTGGTTGAAAGGTCAGAAATTCAGTGACTGAAGCTGACTTGGCAAGTCGGGGCTTGTTCCCAACATTTTTCAGAAGTTTGAAAGTTGTTATTTCAACAGGTATTTTCTTACATTGCCCTTTAATCTGAAGGCACCCAAACTAGCAAGTTTTAAAAAAGTTTGTTTTTCAGCAGTAGGTGGCACTATCAAGTTTCCCAAATATTGTATATAAAATAATATAAAATTATATGCACATAAAGTATTTTAAAAGAACATGAAAATATATAATAACAAATTCTGATAATAAAATAAATATTTTTCTAAATATTACAATTGAGAAAAATGGTAATATTTAGAAAAATATTATGCAAAATAATTATTGCATTATTTAGAAAAATAATGCAAGAATTAAAAGTCTAATGAAAATATCTAATATCAACATAGGCAACACATAACATTTAAAGTATGTGCCATAGAAAGTTCTCTATCCTCTGTAAAGTACCACCTTGACTTATCTTGAATATACTACTTCAGCTACTTTAAATTTGCCAGAAATTATATTAATCTCATTTGCATATAAAATGTAATACTGCAGTAGTGAGTGCCAATACATCTAGAATAAGTTATGCACTTTTTATAAGGTAAATTAATGTATACAAACAGGAATATAGCAAATGGAAAAAGCATTTGGATTTTTCTTCTGTGGTGAAAAGTTTATACTTAGCAAGCAGAGACTAGAGCACTACAGGTAGGGCCAGATTCCTCCATGTATACTGTAAGGGGATATTACTATATCCCAAATAAACTTCAGGACTAAAAAGCTGTAATGTTAATTGAAAACATTTTCTTCAAAACTTCACTATATAAAAATCTGTAAAGGGCAACTCACAAATAAATCTGTTTCCAGGTATTCCAGATTATCTGATGACACAAAATGGCAATATCACAAAAGCACTGCAGTACTTTGTTTCAGAAGCTCCCAAAGCCATACACCTCATTCCTCAGCAGTGTACAGCAGGAATAATCCAGTGCAATGCAGCATTTTCATTAAGCTGGTTTTTGGATGACTGCCTTCTCATTAGAAATGAAGTGCTGGTCTGCCTGAGCACAAGGTGTGAAGATAAGGAAAGGAGAAAAGAAATTAAGTAAGGAACAGAAATGAAATATATGGTCAATGCTCTTTTATCTGCCTGACCAGAAAGTGTCCTTGCCATTTTTTTTCACCCCAGGCTCCAAGCAAGCTGCTTGGCTCTGAACACTATTTCTGCACTATGATTCAGCCTATGCCAATGCCTAAGATTCACACTTTATTTTGTTTTCTATTAAATAAAGCATATAGAAAAGACATTTTTATAGCTTCACAGCATTTTTTTTCCATGAACTGACATTGTGTATTACTCCTTTTGTGCTAGCATGGTCTGCTTACTGTTTCTTTTATAATACTGAAAAAGTCAAAAGCTGGTACTTAATAAAAACATAATTTGCAAGGATCTGGCAGCAGCTGCATTCAAAAGGTTTGTAACTTGCAACAGCCTGCTTCAGTTTCTCCAGAACCTTCAACAAGGGCCCTTCATGTTAGATTCACTTGGGTTCACTTTCAGACTTCAGAATAAAGTGGCACTACAAAAATAAAATGCAGGAATATACTTTAAATTTTGCTGTTTGTTTTCCATTACAAGTGATTCATTGTCACCTTGCATTCTACCTCCATGGAATCAAAACCATAGCATTGTTAGAGCTGCTTCAATATACCTAATTTATTCAGCACATCTCCTGCTTAGACTTCCACAATGTGTTTAGTGGCTCCATGGACATGCTTTAACTAAACTTCCGTTGTAAGGGAAGTGCTTCCACTACATCTTGTACAGTTATCAAATATGCATATAAGAAATTTACTTAAATTGCAGGTTCTTCTTCCTTCGAAGGGATATATCAATTTCATATAATTACAGCAAGGACTATCTTTGGGTAGACACACAACTGCAACATGAAGGCGCAAAGAACTTTTAAATTACTAGAGATGTATTGAATTTATACACTTGTGCTATTTTTTAAGTTGTAAAGTCACAGTCTTGTACCTTGAAGGGCAAACCTGAAAATGAGATCTTCACCCTAGCTCTGTTTAAATGGCCCCAACAACCCAGCAGCTGTGCATACCCAAAGCAGGGTCTGAGAGAAACTCAATGCAGCGCTTTGGCTACAAAGCACAGAAACTGAGCACCCTCAAGGGAATAGGGAGATTTATCAGGTTTAGTATGAAGTGTTCTAATTCCACACTATTTGGTTCAATTAGTTATTGCAGGTAGCCTCAGAAATGGGCTCAAGGAGTGATCAAAGGATCATGTGAAAGGTAGATACTGTCATATACTGTCAGCCAGGCTACACAGCAGACCCTTTTCAAAGTGGTGTTCAGTGCACTGAATTGATGAACTGTTTGACTTTCAAGGGGAGTTCAGTTTGCTGTCTGAGTAATGTAATTTACCATAGAACGACAGGTGCTTTAAGATAAGACACTGAAATAATCTGGTGAGGATGGCAGCCTGTGGCCTGCCTGCTCTGAAGCATCTCCCCTTACTTTTAGGCACGCTCTGGCGCATGCTTTGTGATTCCTAAGAAGTAGATGTGTTGGGGGCTGTGATGTGTTGCTTTAATGTGTGTTGCATATTAAATAGCCGGAAGAGGTTGATAAAATGGTATCAGGACTAGTACCATTGCCGCTCCGAGGGCAACCTCACCGGAGCTACCAATTCCAAACACGCGGTGCACGCCAGCCCCGAATCTCCCCATCGGCTGGTTCGATGGCTCCTTCGGGATCCCCTGCCCGCCAGCGGCAGCCGGCGCACAAGGGCTGTTCCCGGGGCTCTGGCGTCCCTGCGCGCTGCCCGCCCGGAGTGTTGCCGGCAGTGCTCCTGCTCCAGCGCCGAGCTCACCGGGCTCGCCCGGAGCAGGGCCGCTCCTCCACTCACCGGCGACACCCGGAGCAGGGGCTGCACAGGGGGCGGGAGCCGCAGGGCTCGGGCACTGGGCCGCGGGAGCGGTGAGCACGGACGAGATGCCCGGCACGGCCGCCGCCGCTGCCGGGAAAGCCGCCGCCTCCGCGGGTCCCGCGGGCGCTGAGTGGCTGCGCGGCCGGGCCGGGGCGGAGCGCGGGGGCGGCCGCCGGCCCGAGCGCTGCCGCTTCGCACTCGGGTGAGTTACGCCGCTTCCCGCTGCTGCCCGGGCCCGCTCCTGGGCTGTTGCTCAGCTACGCGCTGTCCCGGCGCGGCTCCGGGCTCCCCTTGGGGTCCGGATCAGCCTGGCAGTGGCAGCCCGAGCCGGGCTGCTCCGGCACCTCCGCCTGCTGGAAACCCCCGGCAGGGCTTTGGGCACGCAGCAGGCGGAGCCGGAGTGGCCTCTGCCAGGGCCGGTGTCCTGGAGGCTCAGAGGTGCTTGTGGTTTGTACTCACGGGCGCTGGAGCCTCTTCTCTCGAAGCCTGGGGAGTTCAGTACTGTTGTGTTGTGAACTAGTTGCACAAGAGCTGCGTGAATAACTGAAAACATTATTGAACTCCATTATAAATTTATATAATAGTGCTTTTCTTGGGCAGTTGAATAGAGGCATATCCTTATCAACAAAATGCTACGTTTAAAGAAGTAATACTTAAAAATTGTTCTGGAGCTGCTTTAATTCTTACTGCAAAATTAAGACTCAAGTGTTCTGATGCTCTTCTAGTGTGTGTTGGTATGCATATGCTATGCAGTAGAGTTTCTTCTATTGTTGTCCATGCTTTAGGATATATAAATGGATACTTCCTACAGGTGCTATGACTTCAGCAGTATTGGATGTATCTTTTTCTATTCATTGAATAGTTCCTTTTGAGTCTTGGGCTGCTTGTGACACTGCGTGGCCCGTCTGTTTTTCTAGCCCTGGGTAGCGCAGCCGTGACCTCCACCTTGCCTCCTTAGATTGTTGGCAAATACTACAACAGAAATCACTGTCTTGGCCTGTGCTACGTAAGCATCCTGTGAATTTGGTTTTGCCTGTATTACCCAGGCACTTTCAGCCTCATTCCTGAGGTACTCTTAACAGACTGATTCCTGCGTACATGATTCTGTACCTTCTTCCCCAATCCACTGCGACTTCTCTTCCAGAAACCTCGCTTTTGTTACTCATTTGCCTGCTTTGTCAAACCCTCTTTACTAAGCCACCTGTTGCACTTCTCCTATCTGAGCTGGGCAGCTGCTGATTGCTTCTCTTGCAGACCTAGCCTGAAAAGGCAGTGTGTTTTTTAGATAGCAACTTATCATCATCTTTGACATACATTCATTAAATGAAAAGTTCACATACCCTGTACCATAAAATGTTCACTCAAAATGAACAAGAGGGGACGCAGTCTACATTTAGCCCCTCAGATTTTGCAAGCCAGCAGATGGGGAGGCTGTTCTTAGTGTCTATGTGCCTGGCAGCAGCAGTCATAGCAGTGAAGGTGAGTGTGTAGGGATTGATCAAACTCCTTAACCAGAATATAAAACTTCCACTTTCAGCTATGTACTTCTGGGGGAGTTAGCAGAACTATTTCCTGCAATATTCCTGTAAAAAGTATTCCCTTGTTGTACCCTTCTGCATGGAAAGAGGATGCCCTTCTGTGCACAGAGGTGAAATGGAATGTTGCCTACACGGACCTCAAACCATCCAAGAAAAAAGATTGCAATGGAACAAGTGGTCTGGATATTTCAAATCATGCTTGAGAAGGCAGGACATAGTAGCTTTTCTCTTCAGTAAATGTGAAGTTTTTGAAATGGTTTTCTGTAACCTTGTAAAAACAAGCCACTTAGTTATTAAATTTTGAGTCTCACAACAAGAAGGCAAAAAGAATTCCCTTTCCAGCACCATGAAATGTGGGTTGCACTAGATTGGAAGTAAGACTAATTGCAACAACTGGCAAAGACAAGTGAACAAATAATGATGTGCATGCAAGTGTATCTGTTAGGGTTTTTCTACCTAGAGAGCTGTTCTGAAGAGTCTCCAGCTCAATTAGAGTGATCTCTTCAGTATAGAGGGCTTTAATGAGGAGTTACACGTACGTTTCTTTTTCTTGACCTGCTGCATTGAATCGTCAAGTGAGTGGGTTTATTTTTATTCTGTAATAGCCTCTCATTTCCACATGAGGGTAGATTCTGTGGGAAGGTTGAACAGGTACTCCACTCAGGGCTGGCAGCAAGTCTTTGCTTTTTGGGTTGTTGGGTTGGGTTTGTTATTTTTTTTTTCATGTATCTCAGTGGGTGTATCTCAGTGGGTGAAATTCAGAAATGTGTATCTCAGTGGGTGAAATTCAGAAATGTACATATTTCTGAATATATTGTTATCTACTAAAATGTAGGACAAGTTTGGAGGAAGTATGTGAGAGAGTATCACAAGCACTTCCTTAAGTAAAAATGCATTTATTTTGACATTTCCAGTAGTTCTGTGCTCACCTTGCTATTGAGCTGTATTGGTAGAGCTTTCTGTCCTTCAAAACTCACGAAAGAGTATCTTTCAGTTAAGCCAGTGTTAGATATAATGCAGTGTAGCATGTTTGGCTAAAATTAATGTAGCCTAGCAGGAGTTGATCTTGTCAATCCATTCAGGAAAACAGCTAATTGGATATTGTTATTAGTGTAGTAAATATCCATCATATGAATCTTGTTCTGTAGCATGTCTTTAAAATGTGCCAAGAAATTCGAGTTGTATTGGAAACTGGGGGAAGTGCAAGTTCATTGTCTCAGAAAACTTGACTATCTGACTTGAAGAAATTAATTTTTAGCACGCAAAGTTGGAGAAGAGATTGGCTATAAAAGTTTATTGGGAAATGTTTGAAAGAGACCAAACTGGAATAAAAAAGAACATCCATTGTAAGCAGAAGGCAGCTGGCTGTTCTTGTGTGCTTTAAAGAAGTTGAGATGTTTTTATAGGACTGTGTGGGCGGTTGGGAAGGTTTGTGTTCACTTCCCACTAATGTTCATGGGCAAGAATGAATTTTGGCTTTCTGTCTCTTACTTTATTATTTTCTTTTTTAATTGAAAAAATAGAGATGTTACTCATCCTGAATAGGAATGCTGTAGGTTATGTATAACCCTGAAAGACAAGGAAATGGTTGAAAATTATTATTGTATCTATTGTGCACCTGAATACTGGTTTGATTTCTTTTGCTTTCTTTACCTCTTAAATTTGCAAAGCAGAAAAATACCTGTTTGATTGGTACTGCTACTTCTGTGATCCTGACTGAAATGAATGTAGCAATAGCATCTTGAACATACTTATTTTGTTAAAGAAATGTCAGATACCTTTGTGCAGTATGCTGGGCTTTATAAGGTGATGTTGAGGAACACTAGAAGCAGAAGGACCCAATGAAGTATTTGTTCAGAGTAAAATCAATTCATGCTATTCCTTTCCAGAGTTTTTCAAACATGGTTGTAAAATTTTGTTGTATTTGCTCCTTCAGTAAAATTAAGAAAATTCAAAACAGTGAAAGCTGTTGGAGTTTGTCACTGAAAGTTTTTGGAATGCAGCAGGCTTTTATAAGGAGAATGATAAGAGTCAATTGCAGCCTCAGAAAAGGGTGAACTTGAGGGAGAAAGAGAAAATATGGAAAATCCAGAGGAAGATGCCAGCAAATGATGCCACATGTGCCCACATCTGTAACACTTGGGTGTGTGACTAATTGTGAAGAAAAAATTAGTTTGATTTTTGTATCTTGAGTGCTCCACCTTTCTTTTTTTTTTCTCTTTGCAATTATAAAGATAAGCTTTAAAATTACTAAACCATTCACTAAATTTAGGCCAATTTGTGCAAGGGTGATGTATTTCTAATGATTGTCTTGGCTGAAGCCAGTGCAGTACAAGTTCAGGCAATAACCCATTGGCATGAATTAAATATTAATCCCCTGCTGATTGAGTTGCAGCCAGCAAGAAGTCCTGCAAAGTCTCTGGGTTAATCACCTGGTTAAAGTTTGCTTTGGCCTCCATCTCATTCCAACCCTAAGTAACCTATTATTTTAATGTAGCACATTCCTAGAAAACTTGAAAGGGTTTGAAGTCTGTTCAGTTTTCTGATCCAGTATATTATACCAAAGTTGGACTTTGTGCCACAGAATGCCGCTTTAGGTGAAGGGGAAAGAATAGGACACCTTGGTCGGCTTAGTCCTTTCTCAGCAATAAACTGATTTAATTGGTTTTGAAAACACTTCATTTGCTACCTCTGCAAGTCCTGCAATATGGCCAATGAGAAGTCATGGAGGAGGAGCTGGAAGTCATGACTTTGAATTTGTGTTATCCAAGGATGACTGATATACAGTGAACCACAATGCCGCTCAGGGTTGCTCAACTGCAATTCTTTTATGGCATATTTGTTTCATTAAGGTAAACAATTAAACCAGCGCTGAGAACTGAAGGCAGCAATGCTATCTGTAGTGCATAAAACTGCTGAAAACGGTGGAAGGCTTATCTGGAACAGATACTGGAAAATGCATTCAATTCAAGATATGCATTGTGTACTTTTAGCTTTCCTACCCAGGAGCTGCTTTCTGTATGGGAAAAGCAGAGCTAGTGACAGTCACGTATTAATTGGCAGTAGCAAGAATTTAATTATCTTATAGCACTTAAGCATTTCTAAAGTAAAAGAGCTATAATACTGCTCTGTGAAGCACAGTGGTGAAACAATCAGAGCAACACCTATTTTTCTGTATCTGTGATTTCTAGATACATATTTATTAATTTTTCTTTACTATTCTTTAAAATAGGAAATTAAAAAATGTATTTCCCATTATATTATCTTGTTTTAATATTCCTTTAGTTTTACTTTGACATGTGTATGCCAACAGTAGCCATTTCAAATGGAAGCAAAGTCTCTCAGAACCATACCTTTAAATTAAGTATTAATTTGGCACCATACATTTAAATTAAATATTAATTTGGGTAACCAAGCAATCTGTAACAACATCGAGTGCAGATAAAATTGTTTAATTATTTGACTGCTTTGGAGAGGAGCATTTGTCTTTATCTTATGAAGGATTTTCTGTCTTTTGCCGTTTTGATTCTTGGTGAAATATTTTCTCTGTTTTCTTTCAGTGACACATTGATTTTTCAATGTTACATGTCAATACGTTGGCTTTGTATTTGCCTCTTAACTTATATGTTAATATTCACTTTAATATTCACTTTGAAATAGTTAGATTTTTGAGATGTTGTTCTGGAGATCCTGGAAAGCTATTAGGAAATAATAAGAGTGTTGTTAACTCAACTTTGAGTTAGCATTTTCCTATCAGCAGAGTGTAACTGCTGCTCAATAGTATATTACTAAACCCTAGCACAAGTACTAATTGGCACAGCTCTAGTAGAATGGGTATAGCGTAGAAATAATATTTATGTGGCTGAAATTTATGCGCTACAGATACAGTTGAAGTTTTTTATTATGTCAGTTCACATTTGTGATTTTGGCCTGATTAGCTGCAGTTTTTATACTGGGAAGAAGGAATATAAAACAGTGTTTGTTTAGCAAAGTTATTTGGAAGGTACTGTAAATGATTATTAATGTTTTCTGTCGTTAAATGTAAAGTAAACCTAAACCATTTCAGAAGGTCTGTCTTAGTTGTGGATGCTGTTGCAGTACTGAGGGAGTTGAAACCACTCAACCTTGTACATGTCTTGCAGTTAGACTTTTAGCCTAACTTCTGCAGTATTATTATTAGCAATCTAGTTAAAAAAGAGAATAGAAAGGGAAAGAAAGTTCCTTTAAGATTGAAGTTGCAGCAACAAAGTTATGCAAGATCAGTTTGAAACCATCTCGTTAAACCTTTTAAGGAAGTATCTTCTGTATTGCTATGAAATGTAAAGATATCACCTTTTCCCTCCATGCTCCCACTTCTGTCTTGCAGTTTCAAAGTTTTATTGCTGTTTGCTGTATTGATTTTACATGCTGTCTCTTGTAAGTATAACAAAAATTCCACTCCTGGAGACAGTTTGCGAAACAGAGTTTGCATACTTGGAAAATTGACTCAGAAGGAGCTTGGTTGATAGTGTGCCTGTAAGAGGAGGTTTGTTTTATGATTAAGGGTGTGTCTATTTGCTGTGTTTGAAAATTAATACCTACAAAATGTTAAAGCACTGACTTTTCAACAGCTGAATTATGTGAAAAGTTGCTGTAACTTTGATTTTCTTCCTGCTCAGGTCATCACCACTGTTTTGCTGTAAAGACCTATGATAAAAAGATTATGGGGGTTTTTGTTTGTTTGAAACCTTGTGGTAAAGTGAGTATCTTCCTACTTATTTCTGTAATTAGAGTGGAAAGCTTCCTGTGCTGCTTGGGCTCCCCATAGGGAGATCCCCATTCAGAATTCCCAGGCAGCATGTGGTTGGTGCAGGTCTGCCACTGGGAATGCTGCCTGCTCCCCCCGTGTGAGAGGGCCAGTTTTAAAGTCTGCTCTGCAGCCAGCCAGAGCTGGCTGGGTGACTTCATCATTTCTTCTTTCTGCTTTCAGGAGCTGTTTCCTTGAGTTACGTGCTGTTGGGTAAGAAGACTGAATTTTGTTCTAAATCAGGGTATTTCCAGTTGGATTGCAGTTCTGTGACCAGATGACATGTTCCACAATCAGCTGGGTAGCAGAACAATGGACAAGAGAGGATGGCAGGGATGAGTGGGTGGCTCTGAAGGCTGGTGCAGCTCAGCTCAGAAGGGCAAGATTTTTGGATGCTTCATGGCTGGCAGAAGAGCATGGAGAGTGTAGCAGCAGAGGTCACCCAAGACCTGTCAGTAGGGGCATTCCACCCCATTTTGTGGCACTAATGCTTGACTTCACTGTCACAGGAGGAGTCACTGGCATGTCTGCACCAGTGCAGATAATAGTCATGTTCTTGATACGAGTGTACTGTATCAAGATGCAATCTGCTGTGAATTACTTGACATGAGAAGCGTGGGCATGTTTTCTGGTTTATGACACAGAATTATATTCACACTTGGCTTTGTTTCTACTGTAGATGGGTCTTGAGATCTGTGTAATCTGAGGAATTTCTGGACGATTGTCCCACTGATATTTATAAAAGAAATCGAACAAACCTGAGTAAACCTTTGAAACAAGTAGGATTTAAGATGCCAAAGGATGAAAATAAAAGTACTAGCAAAAATAGTGCTAGTAAAATAGCATAATATGAAAACAAGAATTTATATTTGAATCTAAATTATTATTTCTGACAGCTAGTTTTCCAAAATATTCAAATTTAATTATTTGCTATGGAAATGCACAGTGTATTAATGTGCCTTATAGCTGTGTAACAGCTATGACAGGTTGTAACAGAGAATTACAGCACAGTGATGCTGTGCTTTCTATTTTGGTTTTCGTATTTGAACTAGAATGTTATCAGGTTAGTTCTTCAACTAGCATGAATTGTTGTGACTCAGTGAAATGTTGTAGTGCCATGGAATGTTTTCTGGCTTGATTTGTAATCCTTTATCATCGACCACTTCAGGAGTCCAGTCTGTGCTGACCGCTCTTGGGAATCTTTGCTAGCTGACAGCTAGTGCATACATCTCTAGACGTCTTTCATCTCTCAAAGTGTATTTTTGTCAGCAAAGTGAAGAATGGAAGCCACTTAAATAATAAAACTGTTAATGGAGTGCTTCAGGTTATTCTGAAACTGTCACTAAGGTCAGGCCCACAGAATTATCCTAAATTCAAAATGAAGCTTGGGATGAGAGTTTTTGATAAAATGGGCTGTGAGTTCTCCTGTGTACTCCCAAGGGGACAGACCTGGAAAAAGCCCCAAGGTAAGTGGTGGGGGGTGGAGGCTCTTGATTTGGATAGGAGGACATTACTTATGGTTGAGTTTTGCAGTTTTGTTGCTTTTTTGAAGATATTGAGCATTACTTTGGCAAGAGGTATAAAAACATTTACCTGCTCTGGTTTATGCCTTGGAAGATGAATTAGATCCTTTTGCTTTCAGGATTTATAAATTGAAAAGTGAGGGTTGGAGTGCACCACACAGACAAAGCTTTTGTTTTCTACCCAGTTATTGTTCACTTCCTCAGTGGGTTTGCCTTCTTTAAGCAGAAGCTGTCATTGTGGACAGAAATGATAAATTGACATGTAGATACCTGACTTGTTGGCTCTTACTGAGCTTTCTGATTTAGTTGTTTAACTTTGCAGGACCTTCATGTGAAAGAGATTGCTGAAGCCTTTGTGGGGACTGATGAGTTCTAGAGGCTTGCTTTTTGCAGATAAATAAGTGGATTACAAGTGCTTAAGAAAATGAGTCAAATCTACCCTTGCTTCATTATATGGAAGGATAACTCAAGTATCTTGGTGTGGCTAGAGAAAAGCTGTACGAACTCCTTTCATGCAAATTAAATAATGATTTCTATGATGCTTTGTGTAAATTTAGGCAGAGTGTTCTTGGTCAATAGTGCACAGTAGAATGGTATTATTCTTGACTGAAGTATGTCACTAATGAAGGCTGTTCGCAGTGTCAAATTAAGTTCACAGTGCCATTTAACCATGAATTACTCTTGCGGAAAAATATTGCCAGCACAGCTAAAATGTGCTCCTCTGGGTATCCCTTTCTCAAGTCTGTTACGATTCTGTACTGCCCAGTGGTGAGCTGTTGAATAGCAATGTATTTTTGGCCTCTTTCCTGGGTTTGGTTTCTTTTGCCCTTGCAGAAACTAAATAAGAAGTGTATTAGAGGTTGTACACTCAAAAAACCCCCCACCCTGCTTGTGTAGTGAGAGCTGTGCACTGACTGAGTTCCCAGCACTGTCAGTATGGATTATGTATGTGAAAAGGGCATGTTAATTGCAGGACTGACTACAATTTATTATTTAACACCTATGCCCTACGGACTTCAGTGGGAGCTGTGTACCTATGTACTCTGGCAGATGTAGGCACATCTGGACACTATTCCCTGCAATATAACCCTATTCTTAAGCTTTTAGTCTTAAGATGGTACTCCTGGCTGATGAGGTGTTTGTGTGGAATTTCCTTGATGCAGCCACAGTAGCTGTCTGTGTTTCTGAAAGAGGGCTGCTGGCTATGTGCTGTCAGGACACTGGGTGAACCTCACTGCTTTCTAACTCACCCAGGCACTCCAGTTGATTGCCACTGTAGTTTGGTTCACAAACAACAGTAACAAAGTAAGCTGCTCGTGAGATGAGCGGGGTGAAGCTGACAAGACGCAAGTTGCTTGTGAGATGAGCGGGGTGAAGCTGACAAGACATGCCTCCGGCAGTGTTAGAGTGTGTAGTGTCCACAGCCAGCCGTGCTGCAGCTGTAATGACCCAGCTGGTGCTGTCCCTGTCACTTGCCCAGCCGTCAGCAAAACGACAGCTGGAAATGGGGATTTTAAACTAAGATGCCAATGCAGTTAAAACGTAGTACAAGAAAGATAGAATCCTGGAGAATATATGGACCGTCAAACAAACACACAGTTGTCATATTTGGTTTGAAACATGCTTTCCCAAAAGGGGTGAAATGGAAATAGTAGCTAATAGGTTATAACCCAAGATTTATACAACCTAATTTTACTTGCAGGTTTTTAGGTTCTTTTCTCTGTTTGTATGTTCATTTTGCTTCCTGATTTGTTTGATTGGACGAAAGAATGTTCTATAATTTGACTGGATCATGTTTCCTAGATGACTGAGCCATTATAAACAAATCCTCCTGTGTATAAACTAGTGAGTATCCTGTGGCAATGTCTGCAGAGTACATGTTTGGCTGGGTATAGCAGAATAGCTTAAAGATAATATTTTCTATATTGAACTACAGTATTTGAAAAACATTTACTTGCTAAATTAAAGTGGGATGCAAAGGCTTTTGTATTCCTGTGGTTAAAAGATCAGTAATAATTTTCTCATATTATTTGTTTACATTTAAGTTGCTGTTGTTGTTGTATAAATGACAAAATTCAAGAAATGGCTGTTTCATTGTGATGCTGTTTTAACTTGGGAAGAAACAAACCCTCCAAACACAAATAAAGGCATTAAAGCCGTATTTTGTTTCAGGAAGAGCTGGTCTATCTGAGATGGCTGCTGCGTGAATACCTTTCAAAATGGAGTTATGCGGTGCAGTACATGGTGATTAGACAGCAGCTAGAAAGTCAGCCACAGCAGAATCACTCACTTTACTTGTTGGGGCAGCACAACAGAATTTTGTTGATGTATCAAGCAAAATCAAACAGACAGACTAACCCACTCTTGGTAAACAATCCTGTATTTTTGCCAGCCTCCCAAGTTCATTATGCAGCTTGTGTAATAGATTGTAACTTGAATACATATTAACTTTTTGTGCTTATTGACTTAATTTTGTAATGCTGCTGATGCAAGACAAAGAAATAGCAAGTCAATAACTTTGAAAGAGGAATTCAGAATTGGAGTGTAAGGGACTGCAACACTACTAGCCAAATATACTGTGGAAAAGTGAAAATTTGATTAATATGATATAATTAAGACTGAAAAGAGAAAAGCAGAACCCATTTAACTAAAACAGCAAAGCTCTGAAAACATGTGTGGCTCACTGCTTCAGATGCAAATGCTTCAGAAACCACTCTGGGATGTCAGGCGTTTTAGGACTAAGTTTGAAGAAGTGGGATGACAACCATGGCCATTTTTAGCTTGTTCTGAGCAGCCATGGTAGCACTTGTAAATATGGGCATAATTCCGTTTATTCAAGAAAAATTCATTGTAATCAGTTCACCATGTTAGACCTTACTCTGTCTTTTCCTTATGACTAAATCAGAAATAAGTGAATTTTGAGCAGATAACAATGCATGATAGATCTGGTCCTCAGTTCTAGAGGATAACTTTGGAAAAATCAGGTACTGGACATAGAAAATATGTACCAATGTCAAACTAAAGATTTTGCTTGCTGTAAGCCATGCAAATGAGACCATGGATTTGGGATTTCAATTTTTATCATTTAAGTACGTTGAGGTGGGATCAGTCCAGACCCCATTCAGCCTCTGGAAACCAATACTTTATATTAAACTCCTACTAAACGACTATTTTAAACCCACCATCTCAAATATGATTATACATCTCAAATATTGATTATACAATTTAGAAAAGCACAGCTGCTTCTGGACTGTCTGAGATACATCATGGAACAGTCTTCTGCAGAAAGATCTGCAGCACTGAGCAAGAATCCCCTGATCTGTTGTGCTGTAAATGGTCACCTCAAAGCAGACCAGATGTGGTGGGAAAAGGACACAGATACCTGTTTCTGACTATTGATGATGAGACTGAGCCAGAGAGGAGAGTGTTGCTCCTGCTGCTGTGCCCCAGGCTGGGTGTGCTGTGGGGCACTTGCACATGTCCAGTATTTTAAGGAGTGTCAGGGAGGTGGGGATTGATTGATTTTGCAGAAAAACAGAAGGTTTGCCAGAGTGAAGAAGTAAGCTGCTGTGTGTCCTTCCTTTTCCTCTTCTTTGCTGTGTTTCTGATGTACGTGTTTTCCTTTACCTGCTTTGGTCTTGCTTTACTGTTAGCATTAAGATTTTGTAGGTTTTGGAATTGAAATAAAGTTAGTACATTAATGACCATAAACAGCCTTCAACAGCTATTTTTTATTGCAGTTATATTCTTGCTCATTTTACATTCTTGAGGCTTAAAGAAACTTGTCTTTTCACTACACAAGGTGAAAATACATATATACCTTGTTTTTTACAAGGTATATACAAGGTATATTTTTTCCCTGGCAGTTTGGAAAGCTTGCTTGCCATGGAATGCCTTGAAGAAAACCATCATGTTGAGAGCTGTGCATAACTTACAGACTTAGCCTTTGTTGATACCATTCCTGGAAGACGACATTTCAGGTAAAATACATAAATAATCCACCTCTCAGAGGAGTTGTTTCTGGAGTGAGGGTTGGGAGAATGGGTGAGTAATATCCAGAATTGTATTTCCAGCCAGGCAGAACTTCTCCCAGTTCTTTGTCAGAGTAATGCCCTTAGACGAGGCTTGTAGTGAAGCTTTCTTAAGAATGCAGGACAATCCAGCCAAGAAATTTTCAATTAATCTAATTTATAAGTGTAGATCCTGACAATTTGACATTTGTTAAGATAGCTTGCTGTAATACAATGGGTGGTACAGTCTGGAATATGAGGAAAATAGAGGAGAATAGAAATTTGCATACAAAGACTTAACATTTCAGGGACTGATCTTAGCTGGCTCTGTTGGGGCAGAAGAGTGTCCCAATATGCATGGAGTGAAAATTCTCTTGCAATATCACTTATTTAAAGCTAGGGCTTTTCAAACCTTTTTGAGTCCTTTCATAGGTAAGTTAGTCTGCCAGGGCTTTAAGAGTGTTTTGTGGCTCAGGCATCCAAAGACTTTACGACCAGGAAGAGAAAATGGGCATAAAGGAAGAGAAGCAGGCTGGTGTAGTGTCAAAACATACTGGTTTAGTGTCAGTACAGTCACACCAGTTTTAGGTGGCAGAGGTATGAAAGACAAAAAAAAGGCATCCCCTACCATCCATGCAAGCACGTTGTTTCCTTCCAGATTTCTCAAAAGGTCTTGGTGAAAAATATGGGGTAGCAGACAGCTCTGCAGGGCAGTCAGGGATTTAACTCTGTGTATTCAGAAATCTCAGGTTGCTGTCATGTGGCTTTGTTTGACAGCTGTCTGTTCTATCACACTTCAAACTCTGAATTCAGACATCTGAATTTGCTGTTGTAACCCTCTGCCCACCAGTGTGAGTAACTCCTGTCATTCCCTTTCCCCCATTCTTCTCGATTGTTTTTAAAAAGTTAGGGGTTTGGGCTAACTTTGTCCGCTTTCTGTGCTCTCTTAAACATAAGGCTTATGTGTCCAGAATTTTCTTCTGTAATTGTAAGCTGTATTTAAAAAACTTACCTTGAAAAATATTTAGAAAACAAAACAGTAGTTATGGAGATGCCAGAGATTCTCTGAAAACATTAAATTCTTTATAAATAATTCTTAAAAATGACTTGAACAAAATCAGTTTCTCCAGAGAAGAATGAGGTTTAAACCTTCAGCTGTTGCTTCCACTGAGCTTTTCTTCAGTGATAAGATGCTGCCAGTACAAGCTCCTCTTGTACTTGCCTTATTACTTGATGGCCTCCTTTCCATTCTTGCCTTCAAGTGTCTCAGGTCCTTAAGCCTGTCTCACTTCCAACACGTTTTTGTTTTTTGGTTTTTTTTTTGTTAAAGCAGAAATGTAAGGTGCTTTTTTCTGCACTCCCTTCACTTTCTGGAAAACCTAAGTGATAAGAAGTGAGGGATACTTTGCCCTGTCTGTTTCCGTGGGTAAGCTGTAGGAATGCTTCCCTGCTCCTGGTGTGGTGCTGAGCTCCTGCTGCATGCAATAGCCAGTGATTCTGTTGCTCTTCTGTTGACTCCTGCTGGCATGGGAAATCATCTGTCTTCGTGGGGTTAGGTGCTAACAGATCATGGGAAAGAAAAACAAATCCTTGTCTGGTGGGAGACTCTACTCGTGATATCTCAGTTTATGGTGCAAAAGGCATGACTTGAGAAGTAAATGCACAAACCTCACAATGTGCTCTGTATCCAGGGGATAGCTTACAACGGGTTGAAGGTGCTGAGATTGTTTCTCTGCTTACACTTGGGCTGCTGAATGTTTCCATTCTAGCAAGGCTACCTGTAAATGGCTCATATTCCAAAGAACACCAAAACCAGTCAGATAAACCAGACAGGGATGAAACAAAAGATTAGCATTTTGTTTAAAGCATGGAAGTCAGTCCATGAAAGTAACATGAAAACCGGGTCTCTTTCCTTTGTTTACCCTTCTACAAACATTTCCTTAGGAGCAATAAGAGTTAATTGTCAAACTTTACAATGTAGTCAGAGATTTTCTCATAAAATGTATAACAGACTCTGCCCAGATGGCAAATGCTGATATGTAAATCTAAAACATGAAAATTTCCATTGAGGGCCAGATGGTGGCTTAATGTGAATTGTTTAACATTTATGTTTATCTTATTAAAAGTGCCTTTATATGTCCAAACTAAGCTATCAATGTGGTTGGAAGAGCATATCACTAAATGAACAGAAAAATCAAACCATCAGTACAAGGCACCTCCTGCTTATATGGATCATGGGAAAGCAAACATGTCTTCTGTTGAGAGAAGTTGTTTCTCTGTCTTCAGAATTGTGAAGAAAATCAAACCAAAATCAACCAAAATCAAATCACTGTTTGTCTGCTTGGGAAAAGTCTCAAACCCATACCATTTTCTCCAAAGTCAGAGACATTGGATGATGGTAATCCACAAGTTGAATCTCACAATGCATTTGCCCTTGGCCGAGGCATTGGTGTTCAGAGGGGAAGAGCTGAGCTCCAGGCGAGGGGGAAGCAGCGCGGCTGCAATCCCTGCTGGGCACAGGCTGGCTCTTCCTGCACAGCCCTTGGCTCTGCCAAGCCCTTCGTTTCCTCTGATGCAATCCAAGAAGTTGCACAACGGAGGAAAGAACAAGTGGGCGCTTGTGGAGGCTGTCACATGAGGCAGTGCCTTTGCAGTAAATGTGTCTGATATTCAGGGAAGTGGTCAGCCTGGCTCTGAAGGGCAGCAGCCAGCTCTGGGTCAGATGAATCTTTCACAGCACTCTAGGTGCACGTGTTCCAGCTAGAGGCCAGTCTGTGCTCACTTGTCCCTCCAAATGAGTCTTTCTGAGACCAGCACATCAGGTTGAGGCATCTAAAAACCAGCAGGTCGCTCTTGCACAGGAGAGGAGAGCAGGTTTTAATAGCCTTAGTTTTAATGAGTGCACAGTTATTTCTGGGATACTTTCACAGTAGAGGGTGAAAATTGCTTCAGTGGTGAACCTAAGGTAGACCGCCTGCCCTGTGTGGGTACCTCTGTGTATGTGTGTGCTGATGTTCAACAGGGCAGGGAAATAAAGAGGAAGACTGTGGGGAGGCTAAAGGAACAAAATTGCAAAATGTTTGCTTTAGACTGCAAGGGTTTTTTTAAGAGTTCTTTGCCATTACCGCGTGCTTGTGGTTGTGATTCATTCCTTAGTGAATCACTTGTCAGTGTTGACTCCCTTAACTTTAACCTTAGACTTTGGACTAATGACCAGAATACTTTTTTTTCTTGAAAAGGGAAGTATTACTAAAAGCATTGGTTGAAATTATAGATAAGTGTTAAGTGGCAGGTTAATATTTAAATCAGTGTGCTGTTAGATACTACATATCAGCATATTAACCAGAAGAAGACTTCCTCCATATAGCCTATTTATGTTGAGTAATTAGTTGAATTGTTATTCAAAGTTAAGACTAATATTGCTGTATTTATGTACAACTTTTCAAACTGAAAATAGGAGGGCTCTTTACCAGTTACATGATGGTAACAAAAACAAAACAACCTATTCTTTTGGTTTTAAGCATCACTAGCACAACTAAATAAAATTTAAAATGCTCCTGACAAGCAGTGCCCTCCAGGGTAGAGCGTGACACTGTTTGGCAACGCTTAGCTCTCTGCTAGATATAAGACACTGACCTAAATATGGTCACTTGAAAAATAGTGACAGGAGCCAATCAGTGCTGTCATATTTGTCAAACAACAGCTCAAGATCCTGGCAATGTTGATAAGTATGCAAGCATATTCATTCAAAAAAGAATCCTGAACTGACTGCTGCACACACAAAGAGGCAGTGGTGTACAGCCACAGCATTTTCTTTGGTCAGCTGGTGTCTTTGGAAACATCTCATCCCACTAAGGAGGCAGCACCCAAAGCTACTTGCTTTGATAATGTTGCCATTAAAATGGCTGGAAAAGGTAGTAGCTGGGTCTTATGTTTTTGTACTAAGGCTACGTGGATTTTCTTCTTAAGGAAAATGTGTTTTGTCTTCTGTAGCTACAGAAAGAAAAACTTGTGTTTTTCATTATTTAACCTGAAACAGAGCACCATTTCTGGTATTTTTGTGCATTATACACACACATGCACAAAAAAAAAAAAATCTTTTGAGTCACATTTTTAATGGTGCTTTGTAAATGAATAATTCAGAAGTAAGCCCTAAAATCCAGATCCTGCAGTTTTATCCAGAACATATTGCAAATGCTCAGAGACTAGGAAACACTTTTGGATCTGCTGCAGAAGGAGACACTGAGCAGCTGGTAAACTACTGGCCCTTAATGAAGCTATACCATATTGCAGTATCTCCAATTACTGCAGAACTTAATTAGTTCATTTTACCCTGCCAATCTGGAAAGACCAAACATTGTCTGGGGCAGCCACTGTAATAATTTCACTTTCTTTATTGCTGGCCATTAAAGCCGAGTTTGGTCTCTCCCAGCAAGGTATATTAAATATGCTTTAGATTTGGAAGTGTCCGCATTGTGTTACACAAAGATATTTTACGTAATTACCCAATTTCAGTAAAAATACATTTTTTTAGCTATTAGTAGAAGTCATTCATACCATGTGGAATGAGAATGCTGAATTGGTTTGTTCAGATGTGGGCTTGGCCTAAAGCTTTTTGCCATAGCTGTTGTACAGACATGATCATTTTGAATGGCAGCATCAGCTGGCATTCAGGTTACTTTGCTTCTCTATTTGAAAATAACCTTCAGAGAGAAGGGAATATTTTGATTTGATCTGACGACAAAAAATTCTATCTTGGGTGCAGAGCTGCTGAGTGAATCAGGAAGGTTCTGTTTAAATGAAATGCAGTGTTTGGTGTATTACTTGTACAGCGTTAATCTGATGAGGATACCCAACACTGGACATTATTTTCACATGCTGCCCTAAAGGGTAATTTTAAGCATAATGAAATGTGATGTAAAATCCAAAACTTCCAGGCACCAGCTAAATGGTTGGCATTTACCCATCTGAGAAATGCAGCGAGCAAGTATTAAAATTCTGTATCAGCAGGCATACAAATTGATACATTTTGAGTGTTAGTTTGAGTGTTTTCTTCATAGAAGACTCTAGACTTCAGCCCTAAGGATATTGACACTTTGAACAGTAAAAAACTAAAACAAAATAAGCCACTAACCCCCTTGCCCTTCCCCCCAGCGCCCCCCCCAGTAACAAGCCTTGATGGAATAAATTAAAAGTAAATGTAGTCATAGGAAATAGTATTAAGCAATTGCTCTTTCCTAAATAGCAGAATTCCATTTGGACTCTGATGAGCCAGGGGCCAACTCATTAACAGTTTTTGAGACCGTGCAACCACTGTTTATACTCAGCTGCTCCAAACCAGCCACATTTAGAACATAACACATACTAAGCTTCAAATTACAATTGCTTGCTAATAGTCTTAAAAATTGTCTTTAGTGCTTGTGATGTTATGGCACTTGGCATCTTTGAAACCATATTCTCTTGCAGCTCTGAAGCTCTATTCTGCTGATCTTTAAGAGTAATACCAAAATGGAACATTACTATTCCAAAATGCATTTTGCAGTGTGGCTCTTATAGTTACTTCAGGAAGCCTCCGTCATGTTTTCAGTCAGTTTTTGCAGTTTTACAAGAACATGTGAAAAAAAATTTACATGGTCAAACTTCTCAATTTCTCTCTTTTCTCCTAAAATTACTTTCTTTGTGGCAAATTCATTCTGTATCTTCATGTTTTCTGTGAGACAAGTTAAAAAAGAATATATTTATCCTCTGGCTAGTTCCTGTATTACCTTACCAATTGTAATAAATTCTTGGTTTCTGTGAGCCTCTGTGTGGGTCACAGAAACCAAACCATCAGATCACACACTTCAGAAAGGTCACATAGAGCCATGTTTTATTTTGGTAATTTTGTAGGATTAAGAGAAGAAGCTTCAGTTACATGAGTCTACCCATTTGACACGGAGATTTAAAGCTTTGCTGTTGTTCTAAACCAGTTCTGCCTGGGAGGAACTTGCTTAAAAAAAGGATTTCTGTTGCAGGACATGAACTTGATTGACATCCTTTGGAGGCAAGATATAGACCTTGGGGCAAGACGTGAAGTTTTTGATTCTAGGCAGCGTCAGAAGGAGTATGAACTCGAGAAGCAGAAGAAACTGGAAAAGGAAAGACAAGAGCAGCTCCAAAAAGAGCAGGAGGAAGCCTTGCTGGCTCAGCTGGAGTTAGACGAAGAGACAGGTGAATTCATTCCTGTGCAGCCAGCTCAGTGCATTCAGTCAGAAAATACTGAGCCACCTGCTGCTTTCTCACAGGTAAACTCCAGTGGTTTGAGTGTGTTTAACCCTTTTTCCATTCACAGGAAGGCATAATGCCAGTGGCTGCCTAAAATGAATTTGCATGTGTTGCTGTAATGGAAGATCTTCTGTTACTCAGGTGCAGTAACTTTTTTTCATAACTTTCCTATTTAGACCACAGAGCCTTCAAAACCAGACGCAGAGGCCTTGTCCTTTGATGACTGCATGCAGCTCTTGGCAGAAGCATTCCCATTTATAGATGAGCATGAGGTAAAAATGCACAGTTCAGTGGTTTCATGGGTGGCTTTCCACAGGGTCAGTCTCATGTCTTCTCTGACTGAGATTTGTCTTCAGAATAAGACTAATTTGTGATCTGAGTTTTCTCCTCAAGCTGGCTCCCGCTGGCAAAAAGCAGTGAGTAGGCTTGAGCCTATTTTTATATTATTCCATTATATTTTTTTTTTAAAAATGCTTTCCTTAAGAAACACCTGTTTGTTCTGCAGAAATGGTAGAACTCCAAAAACTATGTTTTTGCTTTGGAAAATGCACATTAGGGTTTTTTTTGAGGTTTTTTTAGTTGCCATTGTTTTGTTCGGCTTTTTAATTTTTTGTTTAAACCCTTCAGGCTTCTTCAGCTGCATTTCAGTCGCTGGTTCCTGCTCAGGTCAATAGCAACCCAGCCTTTGTTTCCTCTGATCAAACTCAGCCACCTGAATCCCCTGATCTAGTACAACCCACTGATGCAGAGAATATGCAGAACATAGAGCAAGTTTGGGAAGAATTATTGTCCCTTTCAGAGTTACAGGTTAGTACAACAAGCACCTGAAAAACAATGCATGATATTTTTGGAGGACTGTAGTACTTTGGGGAAGGCAGTACAGTAGCATCTGAACAGATGGTGATTATAACTTGGTTTCTACACCTGTAGAGTGTTTATAACGCAATATATGCTTTAAATTTTTTCAAAAAGAGTATATTGAAAAACATGTAGAAAGCATGAAATGAGTTGTTTATGGATAAGCCTTGGTGAAACACTCCTCACTCTGAACTTCCTCATGTTTAGCAAGTCACTGTTTGCCTCTGTGTGCAACTTGATACAGCGTGACCATGGCTAAAATTCAGCTGCTCAAAAATGGACACTTCTGAGTCACGGATCTACAACAGGAATTGTTCTCACAACTGTTACTGTAAATGTTGCGGGGCTTTTTGACAGTGTCCAGTTGTGTGAATATGATTACTTTTGCATTCAACTTTTACCTAAGGGAAAGGTTTTTTAAAACTGATAGTAAAATATATATTTAGGTACACAAAAGAGTCGGGTATATTTATATGAATGCTGTTCATATATATTCAGTAAGAACAACTTGTGAAATGTACATGAACTGGATATTTCAAAGGAACAAAAGAGTCACATTGCTAATACAGAGAATATGTAGGGATTTTTATCCTATATTTATATTTCTATTTTCCTTATATTTGATTATAAAATTGAATAAATTTATTTTCAAATATATTACTGTAGAATGTCATCATGCTTTCCAGCATGCTGCTGCTCTACTTTATGCTACTAAGACAAGAGATGATTGCTTGGTGGAGTGCCCATAAATCTGAATCATATTTCAAAAAACTAAAGTGAAAATTTGCTGAATTTTTCCTGGCACTCTCCCTCTTCCCTTTATCTTTTTCTAATTTTTTAACCTGATTACTGTGTTAGGCTTAAAGGCCCCACCTAAGTAACAAGGGCAATTGGCTGTGAAGAGGCAGCAGTGATGGTGAAAATACATTAAGAAACCAAATCAAAATAATATATTGCAGTAATTCTGAATAGTAATTGAATAATTTTCTTGAAAAAAAGATAATTAAAATGAGGGCACTGCCTTTTACAAATTATGTTTAGAGAAATGGAAAAATAGAGCTCTCACATTGAAAATCTTAGCTTAAGCCATGAACAAGCTCTAGTTAAGTAATTCCTGGGGGACAGCAGGCCTACTTATTTCAGCTGCAGTTAGGCAACTGCCAACTCATTAGAAAGTTGTTCTCGTAGCCAGTGAAAGTCCATCAGTGGAGCAGTCTGACGCTCACAGTGGTGTTAGCCAGCTGAACTAACGTGTGCTTGCCCAGCTCTATGTTAGCACTCTTCTTACTTCACCAAGAATTACATTGCTCTGTGCTGAAAGGTCCTTCATTCAGTAAATCCTAGAAGAATCTTGGTTTTGAGGAACTGTGAAATGAAAGTAATAGTGCTAGAAGTCATTGTTTGGTGTACAAGCTCATTAAGTCTCATTCAGGAATTTTACATTTCTGTACTCATGCCATTCCTAGCAGTTGTGCTTGTGAGAAGTTGAGACCTGTCAGCTCCAGGATCCCCACTCGCAATTACAGAACAGGAGGGTGCCATGCAGATTCCAGAACACACTGGAGTGGGTGTCTTCAGCATCCTGCTCTGAGCCTGAGGGGCTCTGCTCTCTTACTTGAAAATGCTTTGTCCAGAGCAAGTTGTGTTGTGCTCTTGCTTTGGTATCTCTCATCTTCCTTGACTGCCTCTTCATAGCACAAGGGTGCTGTAGTCATCTGGACTACAAGTGTTACAAAACCCCTTTATGTCCATGTTGATTGCTATTTAATGCTTTTGGGTTGTAGAAAAGGATTTTATCAATTGGAGATGTGTTGCTCAACTTCTCCCTTGCATTCCCCATCTAGTGCCTGAACATTGAAAATGATAACCTGGCTGAGGTGAGCACAATCACGAGCCCTGAAACCAAGCCAGCAGAGATGCACAACAGCTACAGTTACTGCAGCTCGTTACCCATGCTGAAAAAAGACGTTAACTGCAGTCCAGATTTCCTGGATGGTATGGAGGGCCCCTTCTCGGGCATTTTGCCACCAGAAGACACCAGCCAGCTGAGTGTGAACTCTTTAAATGACACATCCCCTTCAAACCCTGATTTCTGTGAGGATTTCTACACCACATTTATTGATACCAAGGTGAACGGTGATGCAGCAGCAACGAACACTATCAGTCAATCCCTGGCAGAGATTCTAAGTGAACCTATTGATCTTTCTGACTTTGCACTGTGTAAAGCTTTTAATGGCAACCACTCAGGGACCAGAGCAGAATGTAATGATTCTGACTCTGGTATTTCACTGAATGCAAGTTCCAGCGTAGCATCGCCGGAACACTCTGTGGAATCATCTGCCTATGCAGATAAGACTTTGGGTTGCAGCGATTCTGAAATGGAAGACACGGAGAGTGCTCCTGGAAGTATGCTGCAGAGCAGTGCTGGTGTGTACTCTTTGCACCTCCAGGATCAAGTGTTTTCTTCCTTAGGGCCAAGCACTCAAACACCAAGTTTGGCACGTACAGCCACACCAAAGAAAGAACCCCCTCCTGCTCCCGGCCAGCCCAAAGCTCCCTTCACAAAAGACAAACCTCCAGGCCGCCTTGACGCTCATCTCACGAGAGATGAGCAAAGAGCGAGAGCTCTGCAGATCCCTTTTCCTGTTGAAAAAATCATCAATCTCCCTGTTGCGGACTTTAGTGAAATGATGTCTAAGGAGCAGTTCAACGAAGCCCAGCTTACACTTATTCGAGATATACGCAGGAGAGGCAAGAACAAAGTGGCTGCTCAAAATTGCCGCAAAAGAAAACTGGAAAATATAGTAGAACTGGAGCATGATTTGAGTAACCTAAAAGATGAGAAAGAGAAATTGCTTAAGGAAAAAGGAGAGCATGACAGGAGCCTTCATCAAATGAAAAAGCAATTCACCACCTTGTACCTCGAGGTCTTCAGCATGCTACGTGATGAAGACGGAAAGCCTTACTCTCCTAGTGAATATTCACTGCAGCAAACCAGAGACGGCAACGTCTTCCTTGTTCCTAAGAGCAGGCAGTCAGGGACTAAACTTTGAAGGGCAGTACAGCAGGCTCCTGTTCTCTGAGTTACTAGTTTTGTATCATTATCATGATAGTTTTTACTGTGAGGTGGAATGCAGAATTAAGTAATATTTGTCAAGTCTATGCAATGATAATTTTGAAGTCCTTAATTAGTTTATGGAAGATGCAAGTTGAAATTTAATCACAATGCAGTTGGGTATATACAAATTTTTTAATCTGACTTTATAACAGACATTTCCTTCTTATAGCACCACTTTGACTAGTTTCCATATATATGTAAATATTTAAATATGCCATATTTATATACTGTTCCTATCTATTGTTATATTCATAGATTTGATATATATATATATATATATAAAAATGATTTTAGCCTTCTGAATATAATTTCTTGCAAGGCAACCAGGATGGCTTCTTATATTTTTTATAAATATGCAATAGTGTTCCCCATTTTTCTTACACGTTTATATTTGCTTTATATTTAATATATTAATTTAGTATAAAAGTTGACACTCAGTGTTTGATTTTGCTTTATCAGCTCATTAAACTTTTTAAACTCTACTTCATACACATTTATTTCCTTAAAGGAGAGAAATCCTTGCTAGTTTTCCAAGGCTAAGTCTTCCTAGCATAATTATCAATCACATAGCAGTGTCAGCATTACCAATACTTCATTCAGCTTCATTTTAATAACCTTTGGAAAGACCATGTAACATAAAGTTCCAAGTCTATGCTAAGCTCACATTTTTGTTTTCCTCCGTGAACACTATGTAAATTCATGAGATCTTTTCTCCAAAGGCACTCAAAATCTGTTAAAGCATTGCCAGCATTATGCCTTTTTCCAGCTAAAATTTCTATAGGCTTTTGAGCAGTTCTAGAAATACACTACTGTGCCTCTGACTTCAGTCAATGAGCATCACCTCTCCCTGCTGTTACTCTGGTGCTTATGGAAAACTGCATACTAGCAGCCATCCACCTGCCCTGTTTGGAATCTCTGCTCAGTGAATTGAAAGCTTTGTGGAGTTTAAATTATGATTTATAAAAGAGTAAAAAATGGGCAAATAAATAGCATGGTTTTGTTTACTACTCAAAAGAACTCATTGCACTTGATTGTTTTGTATTTTTTCAATACAGAAAATGCATAATTTGTAAGACATGTTGATCTGAAAATTAAAAACTATTTTCATCCCTGTGCAAGTTCTAAAAGGCATGCTTGATCTGAAGTGATTTTTTTCTTGCCACTGATGGTCCATATCATGGGTGGGCAGTGGGGGAATGCAAGACTGCTGCCACTTAAAGCAAGAGGACTAATCCATGTTTGAAGATGGCAATTTTAGAGCACAGGCATCGAGAAGCACACCCAGCCGTGGCCCCGACAGTCAACACTGATACACAGTAACTCTTAAACACAGGCAGGGGCTGATGGCAAAGCACAGAGCAGCTAAAATGCTCCTGGGTTCCCCTTGCCATTAACTATGCTATCAAATGTCTGTCTGAGAAAATTCTCTCTACAGCTGCACTATAAATACTTTTAATTACTAACTGGCTATAAAACAGATATCTCAGTAAACTCCTGCCCTACACTTCCTTAATTTCATTTGTTCCTTAATTTGTTCCTTAATTTCACTAACGTGAAAGCCAAAGGCAAACACCATCCTTACAGCCTTTGCAGGGACTGCTGTATTTGTACCATCCATTTGTCTAAATCATAATACAAAGATACTTCTCCCATTACCAAAACAAAAGTGCAACAACAAAAAAACAGTAGTTAAAGCAGCAGCCTTGTTTGAATTTCATCAGGTGAAGAATCAGTCTAAAGTAACTTGGGCTGTGACAATCTGCATCCAGTTTAAACCAGTTCTTCACATCATCACCACAGTGCATGATGCTCTCGCATCGAACCCCCCAATATGACTGAGGAAAAAGAATCCACTTTACTCATTTATATATAAACACATCAGATTGCAACTATAACCTTCCTTTTGTTACTATTATTACTGAGGTAGAGTACGCTCCCAAATCTGAGTGGCTAGTGACACTGCCGAGTCAAAAGCCCCACACCGCTGACCTCATACACTGACAAGCTGCTATGTGGAGACCATTTGTTTCTTGATCAAAACAGCCCATTTTAAAACCATTATGAATAAAGCTGAAAAGCTGGCCTGAACCAAGGGTTTTTGGCTTGCAGCCCCAAGTTGGAAAGACGATCCTCTACGAAAATGTGTTGCAGTAATTCTAGACCACTTAAGTGTTCTTCACAGCACTAAAAAAAGGTGATGCCAACACATTTTAGATTGTAAGTCATTTGACAATATACACTTTATTCTGATACAAAATTCAAATATTTTAACAAATTTTAATCCATTATGGACTATACTGAAATTTTAAATTTCCACGCTATTGTAACTTGTTTAACCACAAGTTTCAAGATGTCAGCACATTAGCACCATTGCTCTTGAAGTCTTTGTGAGTTATACCACTTTATTCTGTTTCCAATCTTGCGATATTATCTTCTACATGAAGGCCCATTTTTTCTTCTGTGGAGATACTTGGATTACTTTAGTTCAGGAAAAGCTAATAGAGAGAGATGTCAACCTGTAGCACCCACAGCAGAAAAAGAATCATCCATCAGATATGTGAATTTCAGTAATACTCAAGACTTACATGCTCCACACAATGTTAAGATACACACACTTGTCAGAGACCACAGACTGATTTATGAATATTCCACCTCAGTGTAGACAGTACATGAAAACCACGTTAATGTCTTAAACAAGAAACCAAAGACAGTGCGTCAGTACGTCACACAATCCATGCTTGAAAAGATTAGGAACCTTAAGTATTGAAAAGATATAGAAGTTAAGATGCTGTGTTTAATTTTGGTTTTCAGTAATAGCAGTTACCTCCATCAATCTGGGCTGCTTTTGGGGAAACTCCCTTTCTACCTGGAAGTATCATTTTTGTTATCAAGTACATTTCTGTACAACTGTAGCTTAGGGACCAATGCTTTGGTAGTTTTGCGTCTTTATATCCCCATCTCCATTTAAAGCTGCTATTTTCAACAGAAGCCAGTAAACAAAAACATAGCCATGAAATAAAGTTCTTAACTCTTTGAAGTGCCTCTTGGACAGAGATACAATTGACCTAGCATTCCCTTAATAAATTGTTTATTTTGGTCAGTTATTTCTGAATAGATTTAGCTATAAATAACTGAATTTAAGCAAATTAATCTTAACGAGTGTTATAAATCAAACTGTGAAAATAATTCTAACAGTGATTAACTATTTCTGTATGTGGTGCAAAAAGACCCACCCAGAGCACACAAGAAGTCTGCAGCAACGTGGAATCCTCTCATGTTAAGGAAAGGTAAAAGCTTTACTCTATGCACGGGTGTAGTACCAAGACAAACTACAAAGTTTTTGTAAAAAATTTAACTTTGTTAAAACATTTTCACAATTCTACTGTTAAAAAAAGACCACTGCAGGTGCAAGAGCATTTGCCTGTACCTGAGGGGGCAATGCTGTTCCCCATTACCTGTTGCTGCACAGATGCCTGCAGGAGCTCTGCCAAGTAGAGCACACTTCAGGCTTAAAAAGGCAAGCTCATCACCTCAGCAACAAGCTGGCACATGACACTAAGGCAGCGTGACTGTACTGCAGTTTCATTTTTAGGCTCAACCTTGGCTAAGCACCAGCTTGTCTCAATGTTTTGAAAAAGTACATGCAGTTATCATGAGATTTGCAATTCAGTAGCTTCTGATTTTATCAAGGTCTCTGTATGTTGCTTCCCAATTAGTTAACTGTGTGTTACGAAGTCAGGAATTACTTTCTGGGAGTCTACAGGCAGCAGGTAGAAAGTCTAAGTACTTGAAACAGTTTGTGAACGTGCCTCTGATAAGGCAGGTTCCATTTGACTACTTTCAGAGCAACGAAGTATAACCAACACTAAAATAGAAATTGACTTTGTAAGAATGCACAGGCTCAGAAATGTATTGGGAAGTTTAAACAGATGCTGATTACTTCATAAAAGGACCTGTAACAATCAAATATGCAGAAAAGGAAGTAATACATGTTCCAAGACTTAATACGTGTTCCAGTCTGTGTAAAATCAAGATTGCATGATAAGTTTTTATTACCATTCCATTTGTCTGTACAAATGCCATTGTGATTTCAGCTGGGTATCATGACAGTATTGCCCTCAATTACCCTGCCTGAAAGCACCCAGAGTCTGAAAGGGAGCTCCTCGATTTGTACAGGTAAATACAACACCCCCTGGTGAGCCAAGCTCCACTACCTAGGAGGGAAATCCCAGCTTGCAGCAATACCAAGCTCCCTCCCAGAAGAGGTGCAAGCAGCAGCAGCAGCAAGTCACAGCTGCTGAGAACTGAAGAACCACTTCAGTGTCACTGCCTTCCTGGGCTTCTCTGCAGCACCTCTTTCCATGACAAGGCACAGAACTATTTCCCCCCACCCCAGCACACCCCCCAGTAACCAAAACACATTGTTGCAAAACATCAACTCGTCTTGTTGACCTCAGACACGAAGCAATTTTGCATCTGCCAGGAACGGAAGATCCTTGAATAGGAAAATGTGCCAGCAAGCAGCGCGCATCCAGAACAGGAAACACTGAATGACAAATGCTGGAATATTTGCTGCTTAGTACTTATGGCTTCCCTTGATACTAAGAAACTGTCAAAGGAAAGCCTAGAAGGAAATAGGGGTTAAACACATTTTACTATACACTACAAATCTTACCCAGTCAGAAACCTTCATTTGAAGAGGATGTGCAAGACATGCCCCATTTTGTCAAGCAGCAGCTTCTCATTCAACCTGAAAATTAAAGAAATTACTCTTACCTTGTTTAAAAACCTCCCACCACTCTTTATAATTCATGAAAAATTTTAAAGGCAAACCTTACCTATGCTCATTGCCCTTCCTTTCAGGTCTAAATGCTAGACCTATTGATTTTGAGTCAACTCAAGTAGCTATCACTCAAGGAGGTTCCAAAAGGTGAAGAACTCTTGCTAGACTTTCTTCGATATTTCAGCTGTGATAAGCAGATTTAACTAGCCTTGGGAAAGCTGCTCACTATCAGCACAGTATCTTATTCCTTCACTTTTCTGGAAGTTGAAGCTGTTGCTCCTGCTGCCTTGTCATTCTTTAATTAGGCTGACTTCTCCATACTCAATAGGCTGCTGAAGTCCTGTCTTACGAGTCTCCTTAGCAATGTATGGATCAAAGAAGTACATCCTAGGTTCTGTAAAGCTGGCGGATCACTGTCCTCATGGCTTACACTTTTCCACGTCACAAACAACAGCTACGCTACCCCACCCACCTACAAAGCGGTCACTTACATCCATCTCTTAAAAGGTTGCATACAGATCTTGTTCATAAAGTTTATTATGACACTATTTTTCAAAGTTAACATTGTAGTCACAGTACAGCTACAAGAGGCCCTGTTAAAAAGAACACTGTCAATACATTCTAAAAAAATTTAGAAATACCAGATCAATTGTCAGAAGGGACATCAACCCCATCCTCGTTGTCCCTGCAATCAGATGCAGGCCCCAGGTGCAAGTCTACACATCTTCTAGCATAGTAATGTACAAAGCAAGTCAGAAGTCGGGTGTCTCACTCCCTAGTGAGTTGTGGTTTAGTTTCCCATGTTTTCAAACTCCAAATGGGTTGTTTAAAAAATGCCTTTATTGAAGTACAGCCTCCCCCCCACCCCAAGCCCAAATGAACACGTACAACAACAGAAGCGTTCACTAAACCAATTCTTGCTTTAACTTTTGAGATCTTTCAGAACTCCACAGACAAGAATAAGCAGACTTTGAAATCCATTTTGGAGGCTACCATTTTGACACTGGTTCCTTGTTTTAGCGTACTGCAGTCTAAATACACTCCAATAACAGCGTTTAAATAACATATGTTTAATTTTTTTCAAACAACACACTTATTTTTCTACCACTTCTTAAAAATTATAATTCATTAATATGACTGATTATGCCTTAAGCCATTTCATACAACTTTGCAGATTCATTCCTACACTGGAATTGCATTTACCTTATACTGCACATTGACCCAGAAGTGAAACAGGTGTGAGTAATTCCAATACATATTGCCAAGTGTCTGAGTATTTCTTTTATTGACTGGGTCCCTACTCTTCTGAGTCTGAATTGACAGCAAGCACTGGCCTGGCAATAG